TCCCGTATTTCGTACTTCGTACTTCAGAAGTACGGAGAAGTACAAAAAAGTACGAAGAAGTACGAAGAAGTATCAAGAAGTACGGAGAAGTACCAGAAGTACAGAAGTATGCTTTTTCCCCCTTGAGTATACCCCTGACAGTGCTTTTCGATTATAGCGTAAATCTATCTGATGTTTCTACCTAACAGATGAAGCCCCGTTTCTTACTCCATTACAATCGCCACAGTCCCTAGAAAAAATAATGCATCGGTTCTTTTATTATTTACTTTCCAAGAGAAATCTCAGCATTTCCAAACCACGACATTTTCCTCTCAAAACAGGCAAGTCTTTTTCAATAAAACAATTAGTTTTGATTATAATTCCGTCGGGATAGTTTAAAAAACAGCGTACAACTCATCTGAAACATTTTCGAGATAGATTTTCCATAGCTGTGTGTGTGGAAAGCCAGTTTTCAACTTTTTTTGCCAAACTTGAGCGAACCTTCACTATGTTGTTTTTGGAATGACAAGCTCGATGGTAAGTTCTTGGAAAACTTTTCGATATATCGAATGAAGAATGTCTGTTTTACATTGGATAATGATACCAATGTCTTACATAATTTCATTGCTCGATAACATTTTTGTCTTTCCCACTATCGTTAACATGAACACTTTGTCTGACAAGTAATTAAAATACACTTACTATTAACAATAGTTTTCTATCATATTTAACTGATATTGTTATTGTTGCTATTGATGTGATCAATGTTTTGTTACTAGTGGTCACTGTTGCTGATGATGGTGATGTATCCCATCTTGTTTCATTTTTCAATAATGTTTTTGAATCGCACTCAATAGCAAACTTTTCTTCATCACGAAGAACCGAATAATTCATAGGACGCAAACAGACAAACAGCTCAAAATCAAAATTAAATAAGGTAGTTATAAGAATAAACAAATTAAGACAAGAGCATTTTGTCAATAGGTATGTCATTCACAATTAAAAATTACTAAATGCAGATTAATCTCATTTTATGATTGTTAATAAGGTTTAGCCTAATTCATATCAGAGATCAAAATGGCTCTGGTCAGGGTAGATCAGAGGAAGCTGAATTCGATTAAATAAGAAGGAAGGGATCGGCAATTCAAAATTTCAAAACTACTGCAAAATTAAGAAAGCGTCCAAAAACCGCCTAATTTTCAACAATAGTGAGATTTGAAATTTTCTCATTGTTTTTGAAATTCGAAAAAATATTTTATTCGGATTTACTATGTAATCTGAGTAGAAGTAGCCATCTTTGACATTTTAAAACTTAGAATGGTCAACTGAGCGGAGCAAAAAGGAGCAGAGCACCAAATTGCTCCCAGAGCATCTTACAAATGTGTCCAGCTTGTCAAGTTAAAATAATAAGCCGCTTTCCTTATTCGATTCTAATCACGATAGTCTCTAGAAAAATAGAATGCACGAGTTTTTTGTTGTCTTATATTTCAGAGAAGAAATTCTATTTGTTTTTATGAGACTATTTTTTCATAAAACGGGCAAGCCTTTTTTTAATTAAAATAGCGAACTTTGATTCGAAATGAGTAAAAGGTGAGAGATAGACGTAAAATACATTGTAGAATTCGATGAAGATATTTTCGGGATCTTTGAAAAACCGATTTTTCTCAGAAACGTCTGAAAAAATATTTTTCCAAACTTTTCAAATCATATCAGCATTTGACAACTTTCGAGTTTCAAATCGAATTTTATTTTCGAAAAAATAAAAACAAGTGTTAAGAACTACTGTCAAGTTATTTTTATTTTGCTTACCCAAAGGATGAAAGCAATTCGAATTTTATTCAGATTTTATGAGTTACTTATAGTCTAAACGAGATGTGATCAAAAAATCATAACGAATCGTGTAGTCGTTTGTATTGTGTGTATAACCAACCATTTTTACACATTAAGTTTTGATACCTTTTTTTTCCTGTTCTTGAGAAAAGTATAGAAAAAAAGAAAAAGAACCACCTCGTCTCCATTGATAAGGAGACTGTACTACTACGTGTCATATTTTTTACAAAAGAAAGAAGAGAAAAAAACGATCAAATAAATCTTGTCGTATGAATACACGAGGATACTAACCACGTTTTTGTTGTGAAAGAATACTCTTAGTAAATATATTAACATGTGCTTCAAAGAATAAAGATTGTAGTTGTTTTTATTCGTTGGGTAAGCAAAATCAAAAAAAGTTTATCGAATCTAGAAGATGATGAGACTTCTTGTTTTCATGGCAAAAAAAAGTGACGCAACGTATTGGCTAACTTACTTAGTACAGCTGTCACCACAAAAAATACCATGTGATTAGTTTTTCTTTTTTAGATAACGTTTAAACTATTATTATCTTATTGATAATATTTTTTTGACAGAATGAAATCAACAATCGTAGACATCGAAACTGAATTGTTGTCAGTTTCAACTGATTTGTTTTCGTTTTGCAAAAAAAGAAGATCCCATTATTTAATAAGCGTGTGAGAAGAGAGCAAACCCAATCACGAAACATAATCCAGTTATTTGTGGAGAACGATATGTACCAGAAATCACGAACATTTTGTTATCGAATTTTGATATTCGGGATGGTATAAATATACAGCTGTCAAACAGAATTTAGAATGATTTAGAAACACATGCACAAGGTAAAGAACAAGGAATAAACAAATTCGAGGTAATACAAAGTATGACTTCAATAATCACGTGCCACTTTATAACTTCTAAAAATAGAGTGAAGGTAGTTCAATTTTGTGATAGAACAAGTAGACAGAATTTTCATCTTTCAGTTCTCACTCTTTAAAATTGCTGAGGTACTTACTGCAAGGCGATAATTACTATTTGTTTTTTATAATGTTGTGAAGAAAAATAGTGTAATAAAGTGTTTAGAGCAAAACTATGAATAGAAATAGTCTAGTTTGCCTAACTTAATCAATACCCTACACAAGGTTAACTTGTTACATCATGTTCTGGAAGAAAAGTCCGAGTAAACACGGTGTAATTAAGTGTGAAAAAGGATAACAAAACTTGTGCTCATTAAGGAAGAAATAAACATGAATTTCTTATACTCACACATATCGAGTCGAAACAGATTTGTCTGGAGTTTTGTTTGCAGACGAATTGAAGAAAAATCTTTTTTGCAAGTTACTTATAAGCTTTTAAGGACATGACTAATTTAAAAATATCTCAGCTCACGTCTTTTCCGTTACCGAGATAGGAGACATTATCTGTAAAATAACCATAAATAACTGCTTTTTCTGCCGGCTACTTGTAATCATATCTGTATGAATAAAATAACCATAAGTAGTTCGAGTACAGTATAGAGACATTTTGCTAGATGCGAGCTTACTTTGCATTGATAGAAATCGTGAAAAAATCAGAAGTCCAACATGGTTAAAAATGAAAAAAGTCCAAAATTTGCGCGCTCTCTCCATCCATCGAAGATTTTATGAAAAAATTTTATAAAATTACAGCTGGCAGAAAAATTAAATATAAAGTTATAGCGGCCTAAGTAATCAGTTTCATCAATCTTGCCTTCGGAGCGAAGAGTCAATTTTTAGGAAAGAATGTCTCCTATCTCCGTAAGGAAAAAGACGTCAGCAAAGATATTTTTGAATTAGTCATGTCCTTATGCTTAGAAGTAACTTGCAAAAATGATTTTTCTTCAACTCGTCTGCAAAAAAAACTCCAGACAAATCTGTTTCGACTCGATATGCGTTTCTTGAGTCTTGAAATAGTCGTATACATTCATCAAGTCAAGACATAGTTAAGAAACTCATGCACTTGTGGATAAATCATGAGGTATGCACATGTCATGCATTTCCACTTGGTTCGTTATCTAAAGAAGAATTAGTCGGTGCGTATCAACAATGCTCGGATGTAAGATGAATACTATTATTAACAAAAATTTGAGTTGTTATGATACACGCGGAAGATCATTCACTAAAAGCCTTCCCTATGACTTTCTTATTTTACTGTGATACTCAGACGTATCGATGTGAGATTTACGCAAATAAGTAAAATCTCTGTACCGGTTTGCTTGTTAGATTGTGAAAGATGCAGGTGTCCGGCTGCACGAAATCTTTGATAGAGACCCGAATGGAGATTATGAATGCACCTACAAGCAGAGTTTCGATAAAGGCAAGTATTCAGAACAATTTGATGCGTTCTACTGAACGCCAGAAATAGTCACGCTCCATTTCTATCGTAGAAAAAGCATTTTTTACTATGATTAAAACGAAGCAAAACCAGTTTTGCATTCACAATTTTATCTATTCAAATATCATTCGCTGTTCTTAGTAAAACTCAGATTGAGAGTGATTTTTCTATTTATTTCTTCCATTAGGTTCTAGCAGCTTGGTTGCAGCAATAGCACTTTTGTACGCTTCTCTGTGCGAACTTATTCGGAAATATTCATCTCTTTCTGCTGCTGGCACTTTTCTTAAATCTTAATCTTCCTTGGAGCTTTCATAATTTGTTTTACGTTCTATTTCTTCTAGTTATTGAAATGTATTCGTAATAATTGTAATTTAATTCATGCTAATTCCAGTGAATATAGTTTACAGGTAACCTTCATCTTCGATTCAGTTCAGCCCCTGACTGAACTAAACAACGACATGAAAAACAGCTAAGGACCCTTTCGATCCGCCGTATATTTACTGAAATGTCTCGCGCATAACTTCAGTTTAACTAACTAACCTTCCAAATTTGTTATGTTCTTTACACTACTCTCACGCTTTTGCTTAATGGTCTAACGGCCAAGAAAAAAAAAGTGCTTCCTTTCGTGATTCTTAGACGTTTTTTTTGGGGCAGTTTTATTTTGCCTTAAATACATTGCAAAAGAATTCTAATCAATAATTATCCATTCAAAATAAAATTGAGCTTGTAATGGGCTAAATGCACTTGGACTACACTTAGACTACATT